GCTGACAATATTTGGTCACTCAATAGGCACCGGTCATTGACAAAAACAGAGCCTTTTCTGCTTTATGCAGACTTTACAATAATTAGGTAATTCTGGGATCTGAACGACCCATAGATCCGATACACTGCAAGCAACAAAATTGAGCTAGTTACCAGAATGAGCTAATTTCATTATTGGTGTAAATGGAGGCTGGGCTACAATTTATATGGACTATGGAGGCTGGGCTACAAATTAATCTATAATCTAGCTATATTGCTGTTAAGCCTGGTTCACATGTCTGCGATATGCCTGCGACGTCATTGTTTACAGCTGTTGACGCATTCTTTTGTGAATTATTTGGTTGAACTGCTAAGACAATAGCCCGCCGACACATCGCAGACATATGTGAACCAGGCTTTAATTAGAACAACAGTAGGATAAGGAAACTACGAAAGTCAATGAGTACGAGTGTTGATTTATATAATAAAGTCATCGTGTAATTTGTGCACTGTTGCATGTACGATCGAGCACTGCATTGTATACAATGGTTGTACTTCGACATGTGCATAGTTATACTCTAGCTCCTAGTTATAATTATAGTCGCTAATTGACTCGCTATCAAACGAATAATATACGTGAGGTTATGAGCGATTTGCAACTCTCGTCTATTAAATTTTCCAGACCTGTATATACAATAAACAGTAAAACAATGATTACATCTTACATACCATACAATAGATCTTTTGGTGTTGTTTGTTTGCCGAACCCAAAACCACGATGTAGTGCGCCATTTCTTTAACAATTAACACTGTACTATTTTGGTTTTAATCAGTTAAAATAATTTAGAATTCCTACCATTTATATACGATATACTTCATGTAATTTAAACATTACGGCATTACGCCGACAGTTTCCGAATGCGTGACGATACTGTTTCTGGAAATGGCACTGGGATATCATATGATGTAGATATCAAAAAATTTATAAATATGTTTGTAGCATGAAGAAAGCACGAGATTGAAACAGTTTAAATAAAATGCAAGCTAAATAAAGAAGTTTTGACATGATACAAAACAAGACAATTTCACTTACAAGGGTGACAAGGTAAATTATGGGATTAATATAGCCTATTCAGTTATACTGTATAAATACATTGTGTGTTTCTACCCCCTACCCCTTGTGATTTTTTTTGAAATCAAATATTTATTATATTTTGCAATTTTAACTCGATATGTGTAGTGCATGCCCCTTAAGTAGAGTTTTGTCCGTTAAACGTAAATTGGGAAAGTTTTAACTGGACTTAGCTGAATATTTTTCCCAAAATTCTTGGCGAGGGGGGGGGGTCACCAAAAAAAATTTTCAGGAGATATCAAAGAAATATTCTGTAATTTCCGCCGAATCCGAAAAATTTTTCACAGAATATTGAAATTTTTAGGTTTTGACCAATTTCGCATTGATTTTTGCCCGACCGTTAAAATTTTGGGGGACACATGCTAATTTTCCAGTAGACCCAGTTGGGAAAGCCCTCAATTGGGAAGAGTCCGTCAAACGGACAGCATATGGGCTAGCTAACACCCTGCTATGGGGTCCAAGATGAACCCAATGGCTTCTAAATAGAGAATGGGTGAAAAGTTCATGAATATTGAGCTTTATATGTGAATCAGGTTAAATACAATAGTTAACCTAGCTTTATATAAAATGTACATACATGTTCTAATAATTGTATTTTGCTTCATACAATGCATATGTGTGTGGAACATTACATTATTATTCAGCTCACTCCCCACATTGGGGCTTTTCAGTGATCGATTACATCAAGTACTATGATTACTTATGTTAGCCTAGACTATTTATCTTTACAACAATGAGGATAAGATATCACTTTCCTAACTGTGTTTATCCTAACCCACTCTGCCAATTTTGCCCTGTGGGAGGAAACCGGAACAAAATATAGAATTCAATTCCTTTGAAAACACCTAAATTGCAATCCCTAAAATTAAATTTTTTTTCTTAAATCGCACTAAATCGCACTAAATCGCAGTGCTTGAAAGTCCCAGTTTTTCCTTAAATCGCCTAAAATCGCCCAAAATCGCATTATATCGCAGCGATTTAAGGCGATTTACCGCCCCAGAGTAGGCCTATGCAATGCGGCCTATACAAACAAAACTCCCGGCGTTAGTCCACCAGCTAGGATTTATAAACAGCGCTTTAAAACGTTAAAAATAAAATAGTTTGAGGCCTTTGGGCACAAAATACTATCAAAATGAAGAGAGAAGTGAGACAAATCCACTGGTATACGGCCGAAAAAGAGAAAACCAACGGTACCAAAGTTATCAAGGATCAAACGTACTGCATTTTTTATAATTAGTTGAATAATTTTGAGCGATTCGTTCGCAATACAATTTCGCGTGGATTTTACTGTAAAGATAAAGGCCATAAATCGCTAGAATACTGTTGTTTAGTGATACATTTGACACCCGTAAGTACAATTTCTTACGCTGAATCGAACGCTAGCTGGTATTTTTTATCTTTATTGCGCCATTAGGCATTACAACTTAGTACAAGGTCAAGGACAAACAGACTGCAACTGAGTGTCAACATGAATACTTATTGCAAACAATTTGTAAACAATACAATTTCGCTTGATTTTGAATGGCCATAAATCGCTAGAATACCGTTGTTTAGTAATACATTTGACATCCGTAAGTACAATTTCTTACGCTGAATCGAACGTTGGTATTTTTATCCTTATTGCGCCATTAGCCATTACAAATACAATATATTTCACACTACAGTTTTCACGTTTCTACGGCTATTAACAACTATTTAATATCAGGGACTGTTGTTGGATAAATTTTATATTGATATGACACCAATATGCTTCTCGTAAAGTAGTTATCTATTACAGTAAAAGTAAGTTGTGTAGTTTACTGTAAGTTATAATTTTACCTTGAAATTGTCTTTGCCTTTGGCTCGCTTATATTCAGATTCAGTATATTTATATGATCGTGCACGGGAATTCGACGATCCAATATTATAGCATCTGACCAATGAGAATTTCGCGTCACGATTTGAGACGCAGATATTCAAATTCATTAGTCATCGATGCAGGCTCTCAATTCAGCTTGAGAGCCTGTTCACAGGCTATCTCATAACTGATTTTCGCGCCAAATTTTTCAGTAAGATTCAAAATCAGGCAAGTGACACAAGTCGCTCGCTTCCGTCTTTCTCAAGCGCTCCCTTCTTGCTACGCGCGGTCCCTAGCGAGCGACTTGGGCAAGTCTATACCTTGTCTTGACATCGCTTTATTCTGTTAGCTAGCCAATGCTTTTAAATTTACATATTTTAGAATCAGTTCCTTTCCTGGTAACTGCATTTCTAAATGAAATCATCGTGAGTAGTGAGTGCTGAGCAGGCCGTTTTACTATAAACAAATTTTAGGAACTGATAACAACTTTCATGAAAAATATATCGTTGCACATGCGGTCACAGTCGGAAAAATGTTCATAGTATGTTGTACCGTCGCTTGCAACTACCGATGAACAGTCGCTCATAAAAACATTCGCGTGATTAGAATCTCCAATGTTTGTCAAGAACAACAACACTTAATTGTTGTTTCCCATGTGTACAATAATAAGTAAAAAAAACTTTGTGTGGTCTGAACGTGTTGGGCTAGAGACCTACTGGAAACCTTTACAGGCTTTTTAATGAGAATAGAGAATGTTTTATCTGAATGTTTTAACTGTTCACCTTTAGTTGCAACCGACGGTATTTGACAACATAAAATTGCCTGTGGCTGTGATAACTGATATAAATAAAATACAGTCTGGTTACTTGAGCGTGTCATGAAAACTCTTTATTGGAAAATTGTGAAGAAACAGTCGAATATAGAGGGTCGAATATCATACTTTAACTTGTATACCTATAGTAACATTGGTACATAGCGTTGTGAAGACAAACCTTTTCTTACCTTTCGCTTCAGCAGTCTTTTCCGTGCTTCTCTACGCTTTCCCAGGCGAGGTTTTCTTTCCTCGGCAGTCTCCTCGAGCAAACGTTGTCGTCTTCGCTCCCTTCTTTTCGCTAGACGCTCGGCTTTCTTGTCGTTTCCTTGCCGCTCTTCATGGCTAGCTCCATATCTTTTCAATTGGTATTTGATACCATAATTGTTTGATAAAAGTTTTAATAAAACTAATTGCTTTTAAAGCTGCCAAATGTTTTTGCAACTGCAGCGCAAAAAGCAAAATATTTTCAAGTATCTGTCAGTTAAAGTCGTCATTCGTCATACAACAACAAATTTTAAATTTGACCAATCGGTGTTCGCTATTCATGACAGTCCGCCATATTTTTTAAATCAGTGAGGATGACCACCCACGCACAGTGACCCACGGCCGCGATATTTGATGAACTTTAGACTTCCCTAATGCTTTCGTTTCCCCGGGTGTAAATAGCCGGCGGGAATTAGTACCTTCGCACGGCGCTTCGCGCCGCCGGCTCGGGGATTATTTACCAAAAAATGGAACTAATTATGGTATCTTTAATATAAGATTCCAAGGTGTTAAAATATGGAATTCTTTAGAAGAAAATGTCAAATCTCTCTCTTTCTCGCAATTCAAAAAGAGAATAAAAATTGAAATGATCCAGAAATATTGAGAATTGTAATAAAAACTAACTTTATTATTTGATGTAAAACTGAATATTGTAATGAGGTTATTTTGTGTGCAGTTCTCTCCAACATCCTGTTGGAGACAGCTGTTCTGTGCATGAGCTTGTTATATGTTTATATTTTCCCCAGTCCTTATTGGCTGCACCCTCTTCCTAGCCCTTATGGTTATTTTGTGCAGCCAGTACTCTAACTCATAAATTATAACGTATGTAAATAACTAATTTTCTTTTCTTGTGAGTACGAATAAAGGTTTCTTTCTTTCTCGTTTGGAGAAATTTCGCCAGTATACATACGGTCGTCCAGTGCAAGTCCAATCTGATCATAAGCCATTGGAAAGTATAATGAAAAACCCCTACATATGGCTCCAAGAAGATTGCAGAGAATGTTGTTAAGACTGCAAGGATATGATATTGATTTGGTGTATCGAAGTGGAAAGAATATGGAGCTTTCTGACACGTTGAGTCGAGCGTATCTTCATGAAGGTGGAACCCCGGTCGAAATTGAAGTAGAGCCGATCAATGTGATGCACAGTTTACCCGTTGACTCAGCAAGATTGGATGATATCAGAGCGAGTATGGAAACTGATGAACGCATGCAAGAGCTGAAGAAAGTCATTTTGAAAGGTTGGCCAGATAAGAGAAATGACGTTCCAGGGCAAGCGAGACAATATTTTGGTGTACGTGACGAATTGACAGTTCAAGAGGGTTTGATTTTTCGAGGTGAAAGAGTGTTAGTTCCGAATGATCTGAGAAAGCAGATGATTCAATGTATTCATTCGACTCATATAGGGGCAGACGGATGTCTACGTCGTGCAAGAGAATCTATCTATTGGCCAGAAATGACCAGAGATATTAAAGATCACACTGCACAGTGCGATGTATGTAGATCGTTTCACAATAAGCAATCCAAAGAAACACTGAGATCTCTCGAAGTGTCCAATAGACCATGGGCAAAAGTCAGAGTTGATATTTTTACGTTTAATGAACGAAATTATCTGTTAATTGTTGACTATTTTTCAGGTTTTTGGGCAATAGATCTTCTAGAGAATGTCAAGGCGAAAACGGTGATTCGGAAGATGAAATCTACTATTTGTTGTTGGCGACCATCAGTTGAGCAATTTAAAACATTTGCAGTGTATGCTTTATCAGACCTAAAGGTACTTCGCTTCACCTCGTATCTTTATACCTGATAAAACTATAGTACATAAAATAATAACTATGATATTTAGCCTGAATATTATTATAAATGTATGAAGGATATTATACATATATTCTTCATGCTCAACATTATCCGGTAATCATTTAACATGAAATCCGATAATCATTTAACTACTGAGAACTGTGTGAATTCCTGAATTACTTATTGTTACAGACTGTACTGACCTCTTGCAATTATGGTTATTAACCAAAATCTGACAATGTCTCTAGTTAACCCATTGAGCTGCAAAGTGCCGCAGTGTGCCCTACTTACTGAAATTGACTGATTTGTGGTTTATGGGTTTTTTTGTGGCAATTCTTTGGGCATCACAAGTGCATTTGTATATCTTAATACACTGTGAGAATACAAGTATTAGTATTTAAATGACACAATATGATGTAAGTTACCTTTCAGGTATATAATTTGTATACAGCATCAGTGGTGCAACTTAACTTTTTTGACCACTTGCCCTCAGGGCAAGTTGGACATGAAAATTGGTTGCCCTGAATAAATCCACTTGCCATCAGGCAATGGGGTACCTACGCGGGCCAGTATATATTAGAGAGACAACATATCCACTCATTGGACTAGTGGCATTGGCTAATTATGTTACTGCCTCAGATCTAGACTACCTCGGATCTAGCTTTGGCTCACATATTAAACAAAATTTGAATCAAGCACACTTGTTTAATGTAACACTAATCACCATTATTTATTTTTTTATTAGTTTTACAATAAGAAATTGAAGGCACAGACAACAGGACTAATAAAGTCCCAAATTAAGTCCTGCCATAAATGAAGTCCTGCCATATTTCGTTCGGTTATCATATCATGAATAAACATTTAATAACCAAAAAGAGAATCAAATGCATAATATAACCAAACAATTTAGATGAATTTGATGCAGATGATTTGCCATTATGCAGCCTTTATTCTATCCGACAATAATAATATGAACTGAAAGCTGGCCAGCTTTTTGTGGCAAAGCAACTTGCCCGTTCGGGCAACCAAGAGGAAAGTTTACTTGCCCATCATGATATTCACTTGCCCCGGGCAAGTGTTAAGTTACACCTCTGAGCATAGTTGCCATTTGGCAGCTGTTGGTCTGGTTGAAGTGCTCAGATAATTTGGGGAGACCCATGGCATGTTCTCTCAACAGTGAAGGTTCAAAAACACACATGCCGGAATGCTTATAGAATACCTCGCCATTTTTCCGCATTCATTGACACATAAATAAGTACAAGAATCACTTCAAAATAGTTTAAGGTAAAGTTTAGAGATTAAATCATATGAGTATGTTAGTTTGGTTTACAAGGAATTAATAGCGGTAAGGTGTGAAAGTTGTGGGTATTCTATAGTTGTATAAAAAAAGCCAAGCTAAAAGCCCCAAGAATACCTGATTGCCACAATGTCAAAGAGCATAGTTGCTGACTAAGAAACATCTATTAGACCATGTACAGTACTTGAGTCTTGTGATAATATCAGTGATATTGCTTTTGTATTATACGATATACTGTAAACTTGCTGTTAACATATTATTAATATTCATGGTTGTCAAATATCATAAAATCAACACACAAAATTCACACACAAAGGTTTAAAATAGTGTATATTGGTATAAACGTTTAATAAAATGCATACATACGTAACCCATGGTTGGCATGGAATTTTGTCACTTGGCACAGTACTTTAATGTTTTTTAATGTTTGTCCCACATTAAAATATATTGAGTCAATGACAGTGCAACTGTTCATATTAAAACGTTCTAATCACATTTTACATGCACATTTGTATTCAGTAGTAATCTTTTCATAAAGGTACATCAAAGTTCCAAATCAAATTCTTCACTGACAGTAGTGACAGTACGTTATTGACTCCCAAACGACAAATATTATAAAACACGCTTCCAAGCTGAAAAGAAATATTTACTGTTGTCAGTGAGTGTTTAAACTCTTCTCTTTGAATGTTGATCTTCCACAAGTATTGCTGTTGATTATATTCCATATTTTTTTGACGAACATCGCAGACTTTATATTTACAGTATTTCCACTGTCAGTTGAAAAGTTTATCATCATAGTTTCAGTCTCTGGTTTCAGTCGCAAAAGGTTAATTCTATCGCCCCTTTGCACGGCCATGTTTGATAAAATCAAAGCGGCCCGCACCCCCGGTTTGAAAAGTTAAATTTCTGAAATGTTCAAAATTTGAAGCATTACGTGACCAGCCTTTACCAGGGCCTTTGCTGCTTCGCCTCCTTCCTCAATAGGCCCTGGGGACGAGGTTGCTCGTGTTGATATAACTGTATATCAACACGGAAAGTGTATCATATTTGTTAATTATAATATAGCATTTGTAAATTCTGAACGCTGATTGGCTAAGAGCCGTGTTGATATAAATCAATGTCAACACGGAAACGTCGGAAAATTTCTTTCTTTATATTTCTTTGTGCTATATTATAAAATAAATATAAAACATTTTTTCCGTATTAATCCCCGAGCCGGCGGCGCGAAGCGCCGTGCGAGGGTACTAATTCCCCCGGGCTATTTACACCCGGGGAAACGAAAGCATTAGCCAAGTCTAAACTTCATCAAGTATCGCGGGCGTGGGTCACTGTGCGTGGGTGGTCATCCTCACTGATCTCAAAAAGATGGCGGACTGTCCTGAATAGCCAACACTGATTGGTCAAATTTAAAATTTGTTGTTGTATGACAAATCACGACTTCAACTGACAAATACTTCATGAAAATAATTTGCTTTTTGCACTGCAGTATTTTGTACGTTTGCAAAAAACTTTGACAGCTTTCAAAGCAATTTGCTCTATAAAGAGTTTAATAAAACAATTATGGTATCAAATACCAATTGAAAAGATATGAACTACTGTATGGAGCCAGATGAAGAGCGGCAAGGAAACGACAAGAAAGCCGAACGTCTCGCGAAAAGGAGGGAGCCAGCGAAGACGACAACGTTTGCTCGAGGAGACTGCTGAGGAAAGAGAAGCTCGCCTGGGAAAGCGTAGAGAAGCTTGGAAAAAAAGACTGCTGAAGCGAAAGGTATTATAAAAGCAAAGGCTTGTCTTCACAACGCTATGTACCAATGATACTGTAGCTATACAAGTTTAAGTATGATATTCGACCCTCTATATTCCACTATTTCTTCACAATTTTCCAATAAAGAGTTTGTCATAACACGCTCAAGTCAGTATAACCAGACTGTATTTTATTTATATCAGTTATCACAGCCACAGGCAATTTTATGCTGTCAAATACCGTCGGTGGCAACTAAGGGTGAACAGTTGCAGATAAAACATTCTCTATTCTCATTAAAAAGCCTGTAAAAGTTTTCAGTAGGTCTCTAGCCCAACAAGTTCAGACAAAGTTTTGATACTTATTTTTATTGCACATATGGGAAACAACAATTAAGTGTTGTTGTTCTTGACAAACATTGGAGATTCTAATCACGCGAATGTTTTTATGAGCGACTGTTCATCGTTAGTTGCAAACGACGGTACAACATACTATGAACATTTTTCCGACTATGACCGAATGTGCAACGAAATATTTTTCAAAGTTGCTAACAATTCCTAAAATTTGTTTATAGTAAAACAGCCTGCTCAGCACTCACTACTCACGATGATTTCATTTAGAAATGCAGTTACCAGGAAAGGAACTGATTCTAAAATATGTAAATTTAAAAGCATTGGCTATTACGATGTGAAGACAAGGTACAAACTTTTATAGTTGCTATTTGTTATAAATCCTATAAATAAACCGATTCAACAATAATTTTGCCTCGAATTTGCATATTCTATGCTGCACGTTTATATTTTATTTTTATAGTTTAAAAATAAAATTGTAATACTATGAAATAAAATACATTTCTGTTTATTGACCAGTACTTATTTAATGTCTTCTTCATCCAGCGGTCAGTAAATTTCTACTTCTAGCAAGTAAATATTAGACAAGCAATCTGGAATAAGCACAGGACTTTTAATGCATCAGCCAAATCCAAGTGTGCCCATCCCCCTCGCCCAGCCATTTTCCTGTAAAGCACATCCCGGGGGTTGGGCATTTCCAGTCGAACCTTTGCCCCGGCGAGGCATTTGAAATTAATAATTTGGATCCTTGCACTTCACATGTGGAATTAATATAAGAATGTTAGGGTTTGTAATCCAAGTGAGAATATATACATGTACAGTACATATTTTGTAATCCAAGTGAGAATATTTTGTAATCCAAGTGAGAATATACAAATGTACCGGTATTAATAGTACATGTATATATTTGGTGTATATAGTTTGTAATCCAAGTGAGAATATGCAAATGTATATATTCTCACTTGGATTACAAACCCTAACATTCTAATTTTAATTCCACCAAGTGAAGTGCAAGAATCCAAATTATTGAAGTCCACCTTGTCACAACCCGCACACCCGATTACCTAAATATACATGAACTTACGGGTTAAAGCTCGACAGCTGGTCTCTTGTAGCTCAGTTGGTTAGAGCGCTGCACCGGAATCGCAGGGCCGTAGGTTCAATTCCTACCAGAGGACCTTGTGCCGCATTTTTCGCAGTCGATCCTGGTTAGGTCTTAAAATGTATATATTCTCACTTGGATTACAAACCCTAACATTCTAATATTAAGTCCACCAAGTGAAGTGCAAGAATCCAAATTATTGAAGTCCACCTTATCATAACCCGCACACCCAATTACTTAAATATACATGAACTTACGGTTAAAGCTCAACAGCTGGCCTCTGTAGCTCAGTTGGTTAGAGCGCTGCACCGGAATCACAGAGCCGTAGGTTCACTTCCTTCCATAGGACCTTGTGCTGCATTTTTCGCAGTCGTTCCTGGTTAGGTCTTAAAAT